AAGCCTGGAGGACTTCAACTCCCAGAATTCCCCAGCCAGCTTTGCTGGCTGGGGAATTCTGGGAGTTGAAGTCCTCCAGGCTTAAAGTTGCCAAGGTTGGACACCCCTGCTTTAGAGATTCTTAACAAAGGATAAGATAGCACTCATACAAAATGTGATTTTTAGATTAAGATCTAAAGGCAATATAGAAAAACCTGGTGTTTCCATTCGGAAATGCCAACAGCTATCAGTTTTGCATTGCTGATCATCTTGGTTTTCGAATGGAAAAAAACTCTCAAGGGCCTAACAGGGAGCGATGGACTTCTGAGATCTTAAATCAAGCAGAGACTATCATCTTTTAAGATTTCTCCTCCCGCTCCTGATTTTTTTTCCAGGTGATCACTCGTCCCGACTGGGACTCCTACAATCTAAATAATGATGTCGCCCTACTGAAGCTGTCTAGTCCAGTGCAGCTGAATGCCTACATTTCTCCGGTCCGTCTGGCTTCTCCCACGGAAGTTTTACCCCAAGGTTCAAAGTGTGTCACAACTGGTTGGGGACGGAACAATCTGAATTGTAAGTGGCCATTGGGGAAATCAAGTGGGCTGAGAAAAGCCAAATCAAAGAGCGAAGACACCAGCCTGCCTTCTTCTTTAATTCAACCTGACAATTCCAACTGGGTTGGCTTTCCTCCCCACTGATATTTCTTTTTCCCTTTCTTTCTTTTTGCCAGCACAACAATCTGCAGTCATATTACAGCAAGTCGTTCTTCCTTTGGTGCCGGTAGACGTGTGCCAGCAAAAACTTCCCAGACCTATCACCAGTTCTATGTTATGTGCGGGTGGAGCTGGTGCCACATCCTGCCATGTAAGTTTCTGTAAAAAAGATTGGATCAGGGGAGCTATTCTGCCTTATGATTCACTTGCTGAATATAAAGACAGAGGGAATAACTCTATAAATTCGGCCACATCTGTAATTCTGATTGGTCACTAAATTGACTCTTTTTGGGTTGGGGGAGGCTCCCTCACTCTTGCCTGAACACACAGCCTCATGGTAGCAGCTCTACCCCCTGCCTCTACTTCTATGGGATGAAATATGGAATAGAAAATTACTATCATTTTACACTGCAATTTCAACTATGCAAAGAATTGGACATTAGATGCATCTCGACATAACTGTGAGTCGCCTTGAGGATACCTAATATAATCCAATAAAAGAAACTTTGTATGGAAGGATTTGTAGAGTTATTCTATCTGTCTTTATAGTCAGCAAGTGAATCATAAGACAGAATAGTAAAATGATCATAATCTTTCTATTCCATATTTCATCCCATAGAAGTAGAGGCAGGGGTTAGCTGCTACCACGAGGCTGTGATCAGGAAAGAGTGAGGGAGCCTCCCCCAACCCAACAAGGGTCAATTTAGTGACCAATCAGGATTACAGATGTGGCCACATGACATGGACTACATTTCCCAGG